TGTTAGGAAAATCATCACCAATAAAGGGCCACTGACTTTTGAGCACCAATTGTTCTTCAAAAATTTTTATTGATTCATCAATATCAGAATTGTTTATTTCAAATAACTGTCTTTGATCTATTAGACTGAATTCAGGGGTACATAGGGGTTGCTTGCTGGAAGACCCATGCTGAAACAAAAATTATGTATTAACATGAGGGGTAAATAATAAAAATGCTAATTAATGTGCGTTTTATATTTTATCTAAATCCTGAATACTTACATATCATATTCTACATAAAAGGTTGTCAAATATTAGTTATGTGAAAATGCTGCTTGTGTTATATAAAATTATTAGTGTGCAAATATCAAACTCTTCTGATGCTTCCATATTACTCTAATAAAAAAGTGATTCTTATAAAATAGACTACTCAACTTGGAAAGTAAGCTGATGTGAGTGATCAATTGTCCCGGACAATAAATCTGCTTTGTAAGTCCTCTGCCTTCAACGATTGTTTGTAAATGAACATCTAAAGCTGGTGTATCTATTGGAAGCTGCAACACAAAATTTCAATTATTAAATAATTTAATGATTAGTTGCGAGATTTTTTTTTAATTGTTCATATTATAAAATAGTAGTAAATTCTTTGTACTTTGATTACTTACCTTAGTTGACATGGGAAGATGGGGCGTATCATGTAAAGGGGCCACAAAGCAACTAAAATTCTTCTACAAACATTATCTTTTGTGTTAGAATTTACACCAAACACATAAAAACTGACCCTTATCTTGCAATGGAACTAATAGATAAAATTTTATATGTTAATTTGAAATAAATTTCAACATTAAGGTCATTCATAACACCTTTAACTAACCAGGCTGATAATTTTTGGAGTTTTCTTTAATGGAAGTCTCCTGACCAATATGTATCTATAAACCCTTGAAATCTTAACCTGTTGCACAATTAATAATATATTTTGAAAATACAGAATACAAAAAGAATGTACAAGAATATCATATAATATAATAATTTACCTCATGAACAAATCATCATTTGACTCCAATATTAAACTTAGCCTCTACTTCGGCCTGGCAAGCTGTTTGCTTGAATATCTCCCATCTAGATTTATCAAAACTGCTGGAAAAACTTTCATTTCAAAAACTTCCTTTGTCATATTATAAACATCTAATTGTCCCCTAAATGTAATTTTTTTCTGAGTGCCTGATAACATAGTAATGTCTACTATTATTATAACTTGTGGGTTTAGATCAAATCTTATATAAAGCTTTCCACATTTTTCAATAGCAAATGCCTCAGACCACATTTGATCATATTGAAGAACACAAATCCTTAGTAATTGTTTTTTTTTATGAGATCTCCAAGCATAATAGTTACACGCCAGTGGTGTAAGAATGACACTTTCATCAGTAGCAGATTGGCCAAAACTTAAAGTAAAACTAGTATCATTGCATATTACATATCTAGTCATTGGTATTAATTCAATCGCATTTGCACTTTCTAGCTTCATCGCCTGAGCATTTGTGAAATTAGCTTTCCACATCTGCTCTGTGATGGCCAATGTATGTGCGATAGATGGGCCAAACTTCAATACTATAGGTTTGGACATTAAGCTAGTACTTGTGTTATTAGCTTTCGAATAATTGAAATTCAATACCGTAGGTTCTAGAAATGACTGTGTTGTGAGGAAACCATAATCTAACACACTACATTTCATAGAAGTATCTAATTTTATCACCATGGATTCATTGGTCCAATTTGAAAAATACATTTTAGTTGCATCCAAAGTTAATGTCATTACCTCTTGATTATAAGCATCGATCGTATTAATCTGATACGATTTTAAAACATCAGGCATCACAAAAGCTTGACTGTCATCTAAATTGTTGAATAAATTAACTTTTAAACATGAAACTTTCACAACGCATTTGGTTTTAGGTACCAAACTCGCGCTGAAGAAAGAATCTATCCTCATGCAGGCGGCCAATGCTCTCGGGCTAACAATGAGTCCGAAATTTAGATTTTCTCCATTATAATTTTCGACTCTTAGGCGTTTATGTTTGGTCATGAAATTAGTTTCAGAGTCAAAATTTGTGGAAGACATTAAAACTCGCCAAACACTAGCGGAGCACGCATCTGGAATATGCGTCGGCATGTTTAATCGAAGCATTTTACTTTCAGACAATGTAAATTGGCAGTAGGGCAGAAAAGAGCCATGTACCTCGGAGTAATATTCAAGTTGGCAGTAGACAGTCAGATTTGTTACATCTTCTGGATTAACCTAAATAATTAAATAAAATATATAATTAATTCTTTTAAATCGTCTCATAATGATGTTTGATTACAATAAATAAGTTATAACAATGTATAGTGGTACCCCAAATTACGAGTTTTAAAAGAACTATTTGTAACTATGACAAACGAGCAAACTTTGAGATACCAGCGACGAATAAGGAAAATTTTCTAGAGAAACAATATCTAAATGTTATTAGTAGGACATATTAGATCACCTGAAATGGTACGGGATAAATATGAACTTTCGTCAACAGCCTTGGTTGAGGGTATCTCCAAGACATACTTCCAGTTCCTTGAATTCCAGACCAGAAAAGAACTTGATATGGGAGCGGTATTTCTTCACCTAGCGAGGCGTCCACAAATTGGAATGCACCAGCTCTAAATAATACACATATGTTTCATTAATAAAATTCCTAAGCTATATAAATTATATTTACAATTACCTCAAGTCGTCTTTATAATGCTGATCTTGAGTTTGTTGTGTATTAGGTGTAGTAGTTGTCTTACTATTTTCACTGGATTCACTGTAAGCTGTTTCAATAAGTGACAAATCTTCTTCTGCCTGAACTACCGTATATTTAGTTTCACTTGTCAATTCCTCGAATATTTCCTCGTATTCCTTATTAAGTTTTTGCAAAATTTTTATATGTTCAGGCCCTACATTCACCATTAGACAATCTGAATCGACATTAATTTGTATCAAAAAATCATCATTAGGATGTTGCCAAGATTCCCAGTATAATGTAGTGTAAACATCAAAGGACCAAGGGTGAAGAAGCATCATTCTTGAATTAGAATTTACTAAGTTTAAGGAAATGCTTTCGAAACCCACAGAACTTTGAATTTTTTCCGGGCGATTGCAAATAGCTAACTTTGCTTTCATGCCAGCCACTGCCAAATTCAATTCATCGTTTTCCATGGTATTTAAATTTAAAATTAACTGTGTTGTATTAAAAGTAATGTGACCCAAACTTCCAGCTTTTAATTTTATTGCATTAAACTTATTGAAAACACTTGGCGGGTTACAAAATTCTAAACTTGGTTCTTCATTTTCATTCGAAACACTTTTGATATAAATCGTTTCTTCATTTTGAGCACAGTATACCAGTTTCTTTTGAATCAGCATCAAATGTTGCCATCGGTCAACTGAGAAATGTAATTTTATCGGACGAGCTACAACAATATCTAAATCATTACTTTTACCCATTACCGAAGTACATCTCACGGTAATCAGTGCCGGGGGAACACCAGTAGCGGGATTGGTCTGTCCTGGTTTAGTCTCTAACAAGATCAATCTATAATCACTCGGCTGAGGTGTGTTCTTCTCAACACTTGAATTCATAACACTGATGTCTAAACGGATGTCGAAAATGGAAACTTGAAAACGTCGATCGAAGGCTGTTTTAGAAATCAACGCGTTAGGTTGTTCTATAACCAATCGTATTAAAGGTTGAGTAATCGAATTTAAATTATCCTCCATATAATCTTCTGCAGATGCTTCGTAACCCTTGTCATACATTATCATAATATGTTCAGAAGTGCTAGCGCTAAAAGATACCCTAGATTTTGTTACTTTGTGATTTTGATAGAAGGCTATTCCAATTATGCCGCCAGTAAATATAAGTTCGAAAGGTATAAAAGTTTCATGATCATATAAAGGACGTATCGGCTTCTCATTGATTTTCTTTTCAAACATGGTAAATTCATCTATAGTTTCATTGCTCAATTTAGTTAAAGCAATATTCTCACTGCTAAAATCTGCTACGTCTACGCCAGAATCTAATGGAGATGTTGTGACGATATTGCTTTCATACTGAATTTCATTTACTAGAAGATTGTCATCATCAGGAATAGAACTTGACGTTGCAGATTGCATATAAGGAAAAACTATTGAACTTCTACTAGCATCATTAATCGGATTCATCATTCTACTGCATTCGGCAGCTAATAATTGGGCTAGTTTCACCTGATCGACACTAATGCTCACTTCTAAATCGCTAACACAATTAATTTCCACTGCATGTCCGCAAATGATTGTTGATCCATGAACCATCGCAGGAGCCGCTACTATACACAAATCAAATTTATTAACAACCGGAATTAAGACAAGGTTTGACGCCAATGTAGATTTTTTACTGTCTAAGTTATTCCATTCCAGAGCTGGATTTTCATTCATGGTGCGAAGATTAAAATCTGTATTCTCTACTGCTAAGCAATGTTTTAATTGTGACCAAACGCATGCACTAATATGAAAAGAACTTGCAGTTAGTTGATACTGCCTATCTTCAATTTCGGAACCGGGAACGTTTAACAAATCAGCTTGTGCAGCTTGTTGATATAAATCTGGACGAAGCGGTGATCTACATATAGGATTGTCCGGTGCAGGGTTTAAATTAATGTGTGTTATTTGTAAAATAAAAACATCTTGAAATAAAAATCGAGAATTTTGATCAGAAGATGGTATGATAAACCGTAAACCGCGAATGTCTAAATAAATTAGTGGTAAATTAAGCACAGCTAATGATTGAAAATTTCCAGCGTCACTATGCAAAGGATCTGGAGTTCGAACACAAGGTCTAGCTGAAGTGGTTGTTGACGTATTTGATAATGGGTGTAATACCAATAGAAAGCTTGATAAAGTTTTTGGGCTTAACACCAAATCGACAGATTGTAAGTTAACCATCAACTCTGATAAGTATCGAACTTTAGAAACAGATGGTTTATTGTATTTGTCACGGTGTTTATACTTTTTTGCACCCCATCGATTATGCACATTACCGCATCGAGCCCTTGTATATATAATACTTGCAAAACTATTATCTTCTGATGAAGAATTTCCATTTTCTCTAACTTTCATAACAATGCCAAGATATGGGCCATTAACCCATCTTTTAGAATAAGGATCCATTCTATAATGTTTCACACTAGCTGTAGCTATTTTGGTTTTATATTTTATATAAACACTTTGCATATCTAAACTATTAACAATATCTTCCACATCAAGTGAAAGCTTAAGCTGTGCTGCTCCTTCATTGCCATACAATTTTACACTAAATTTTGTCAACGTCCATTGTATGAAAACGGTAAATTTAGGACCCGTTTCTAAATCAGTCTCTTCGACTGATTGTGTATTGCCACTGATGGTAGACGCTCGCGTACTTTCTTTGAACAAAATATCTGTGGGCGTTGTTGGATTTTGACTTCTAGGAAATGTTGGTTGAATTTGACCATTCTGTGAAATTGTGGAAAATATCTCAGATAAACCTACTGCTAAGCTCGAAATTAATGCAACTTGAGGTTCAGACATGCAAATAACTATAGGCATTGTATCAAGATATACACAAATGCCCAATGAACACAACTGATCTGTACAATTGCAATTATTGCTACTGTTTATATCTAAACTCGTGTTAGAAGATTTATTGAACATGTCGACAAGACTGGGAACCTTTCCTGGCGTAATATTATGATCACTGTCTCGGAAATCACTTCTACTATCTGATTGCTCTAAACCTTCTGACTTTGAATTTTTTACATCATTTTTCATTGAATCTGCACTCATTCTGCGGTAAGATTTAGTAGTGACAGCAATAGTTGCATTGCATGTAACAGGTTTTATAAACTGATATGTTTTATTATATCTCACTGTATAACTTGAAAAATCCCAGATCGAAATAGTCCAAGGAAAACTTTTTTTGCCATCCGTCCAAATATTTTCAGGTAATTTAATAGGATAGTAAATTATATATGGATCTAACTTCTGCCTTTGATTAGCACTTCTCAGACTGCAAAATGGTAACTTCAAAACAAAAATTTCTAAATCCGGATTTATATCAACATTGTTCAAGTAAGCACTTTGTAAATTTTGAGCACCTAAAGCAGGAATAGATGCAGTTGGACAATATATAGTAACTTGATTTAAATCACCTATAATCAATAATGATTTCCACACCACATGCCAATCTAATACTGATTTGAACCATTGTGTTTCATGTGGTTCCTGGACATGCTCAGGTGGTGGAGACATAGTACGAATGGGAATTGATGGATTTCTTTGCTGGTTTTCTGAAGAATGAACAGATGTTGGTTGTGGGCCAACTCTCCTTGGTGTTTCCAAACTTCCACCACTGGCTTCTGAACATCGCCTTCTTCGAACGCTACCATGATCAAAACTAATTTTATCTCTTCGTTGCAAGAACTTCCTCGGTTCATAGCGCAACCATTTGCAAAGCAGTGGGTCCAAACTTATTCGTAACTCAGCCAAATTAAATAATATTAATGCTGGATGATCAGGAACGCCTTGTTTTAAAGGGAGTTGGATTGTTAGAGAAAGCAAAATATTTGAGTTGTGTACCATCTGAGAACCTTTCATTTCAACTTCAGGTCCAGATAAAATGATAACTTGCTGTGCTTGGTTCACGTTAAATGTTTCTGTCATACGTACTTTAACACTTTTACTCATAGTTTTTAACAAGTAAGTGGATAATTCACTTGTTTCATATGTGTATGTGGCTTCCTTATTTTTTTTTATTAGCATTGGCTCAATAATAAAAGCTTTACAAGATTCCAGGGTAAAATGATAAGATTGAGTGCACACAGTTAAATTTCTTACAACATACATATTTTCTAAATTAAACTCCAAGTGTTCCATCCTAGCGTCCAAACATGAATCTAATAATAAGGTTGATCCAAAAATTGCTGTAAAACCATCTTTATTTTGCCGCACAACAGAATCTAAGATATGACTAGCCAGAAGAAATCTTGGTTTTGTACTTGTTACATTAATGGAATCAACACTTACAGATAATTCTTCCAAGGAAATATCTTTATCTCTCCAATATTTACTTAACAAAATAGTATTACCAGTGTATGTTATATGCGCAGGATTCAGTAATATGCTTGCCTTATCTTTGATTACTAAACTTAACTTGAGCCCATGACATGTCGCTAAAGTTTTCACATAACATGAATCCAATAAATTCTTTGGTGGGTTAGGAAGTTTGCATGTAGTATATACCAATCTATTAGGATACATAGGTTTCTCCAGTTTTGCATAAATGTTTTCAATGTCTAATTTAAGCTTAGGAAGTTCTTTGGCAGTACTATATTTCTCATTTACAGAAGAAAATGATTGATGTCTCTTTTTAGGATTTTGATGATTACTAGGCATGTGATCCCATAAAATAAACTCTATTGATGGTCTAATACATGTGAATTCAATTTTCTGCATAGGTAAGTATTCTGTTAAAGCATCATAATCTTCACTAGATGGTGGTGGAAGTTCAGAATATGATGGTGAAGGTTTTGTTTCAATATATGGTTGATAATCATATAGTTCAGAAGCTTGTTGTAAAACATTCAATCTGTGTACTAAACCTGATGTATATCTCAAATTAAAAGGACCAACAAAAGCTCTTATTGAAGTCCTTTCTTTAAAGTTACTATACTCTAAATCACATGCAATTTCATGTACTTTTTCTTGTGGAAAATCCTCAGGAATTTCTAAATTATATAAAATATCAACTGCCAGAGCAGGACTTCTGGATAGTAAGTATTCTTCATTTACCAAATCCATATGTTCATCCCATGAAAGATTATACATCCTTCTCTGCCCACGATTCTCAAAGCTTTCAGAATCTAGCAATGAGTCACTAAAATGGCACATTGTTGGACTCAACAAGCTTTTGAAGTACTCTTGAGGTTGCATGTTATCTAACACCTCATCAGCCCCGCAAACACAGTCTCCTGATGGCAACAAAGATAACTTTGATATTCCTACTTGAGTGTTTGTCCAATTCACATTGTGTGACACAGTTTGTAGCATGCATCCCTGAAGTCTCAAGGACAGAATAGGCCAATACTTTAATTTTTTAGGAGCATAATAAGTTTTTTCACTACTTGATTCAGAAACTTTAAATGAAAATAAGGCATTGTCAACAAACACTCCTATATGTGTTGTATGCCCTAAATTCATAACTTGTTGCTCATCAGACCAATCTTCATCCCATGTTGGTAAAATAGATGGAACTAAACTCCAAGCCCAACCTGCCCATCCAACTTGTTGACTTTCTTCAACTGTTTCCTCGCTTTGGGTACTACTTTCACCATTGTTTGCCATATTTTGTTTTTTTAATTCATGACTTTGGAGAGTTTGTGCTAAAACTAAAAGTCGCATGAGCATAGGAAACTGTTGTGATGTCATACTAAATTCCATGCTATTGCAATGAATATCTATACGAGTAGTAGAAGCTTGTTTGACTGTTGCATTGTGATATCTTCTCATAAAGCGCAATTCTAAAGAACATCGGTAAAGCATAGGTTCTAAGTACACATCTATTTTTCCTGCTGCATTTCGTCGATCCAAACAAACAGTAAGATCAGTCAATGTGATTAATTTACGGATAAGAACTTGAGTTGCCGATAGCTCTGTAAAAAAAGAACAAAATGCTAGGCTGTTGCAAGAGGGGCGTACAGCTGTTAATTGTTAAAAAATATAAGGTGGCGTAACAATATTTTTTTATAAGAACGGATCAGAGCAATGCGAAAAAAGTTGGAAGCCCCTGGTTTAAGGCAAAATGCATGAACTTCCCGATACATATATGCACATAATAATATAATCAATAAGAATTGGATTAAGCTAGTTAGATAAAATATTGAAATATTTATTTCAAAAATAACATTTTTGCTCTCAATAAAAAATAATCTATACGATTTTCTTCAAAAATTCTTATGATATCTGTAATTTTATAAATTAATTAACTTGTTTAACACATTATTTTCAACTATTTCTTGTTCCAAATATGTATATTATTTAAGTATGGATGTCAACTGTAATCAGTAGTATCTACGAGACACCAAAGTAAAAACAAATGCTTCGACAGAGATTTTGATTAGAATTCAAGCTCGCGGCGAAATTATAAATTTTGATGAATTTTCACAATTCAGACTTTTTAAAATATAAGTGAGTGTAGTAAATTATAAAATTCGCGTAAATTAATTAATTATTAAAACAAGAGTGCTAATTAAATAAATTTTGTTTAATTTCGCGTAAAACAAAGCGTGTGTGAGTGAACAATGACTCTGTGCAATTTTGCAAAGAAATGCTGACATCCATGCAGCCTGAGGTAAGATCAAGTATATGTACAAAATTTAAAATTAGTGATTTTTTTCCACTGGAAAAAGTAATTATTTTTGTAAATAGTATTAATCACAAAAAACATGATAATTAACTTCCCAAAGTTTGTTTTCATCAAAAAATCCGATTCGCTAATTTTATGTTTTCTTGACGTTTCAAGCCATTCTGAATCGAATGAGACCAAATTTGGAAAAAGTATGTGTGTGTGTGTATGTGCGTGTATGTGAACAAATTTTTTGTCGTCAAAATCTATTGTTATACAAAGTTTCATAAAAATAGACAACAAAATGTTCTTCAACATTTAATTACAAAGAAAGGGCTAAGCCTATCTGTATTTGCATTAAGTTCATTTATATATAAACTGAAACTCATATTTAAAACTGATAATAATTAATAAAGATTCAAATTCCATACCTGTAAAGGCCGGTTTCCATTCCTCATCTGCTGATTCAACAGTCAATAGTTTTATATTCATTGAAACAACTATATCCTCTTCAACATATTTTAAAATTAGATTATTGCAATTTATAGTTATGTTACCCACAATCTTGTTGACTACTGATTGAATGTATCCTGGTGGATTTTCTATCTCTTCTCTGAGAAGAAAAAATAATTTTATCAGTTAATTGATCAGTAAAAAATTTTTATAATTTTTAATTTATGATTTACTAATAGTTAATATCACTAATTAAACTTTGTTTTAATTTACATTACTTTTTATTGATACTTAGCTTTTTGCTTTTATTTCAAATGAGTGTGTGTGTGTGTGTGTGTATGTTGTTTGAATTATAGAACTTTTAATTGGCAAAATTAATTATGATAACAATTGTGTGCGTGTATGTATGTAGGTATAATATTAGATGGTAGTCTTGGGTTTGTAAATATTTTGTAGAGCTTCGAACAAAGAATCCAAAAAGTAATAAACAAAAACGTTTCGGAACTAGGTACATTCTATATCTTGATAAAATTTAAGCAAACAATATGTTTAAGAAAAGCAGAATTATAGAACTTTTAATTGGCAAAATTAATTATGATAACAATGTATGTTGTAGTATAAGTAAATATATATCAATCAAAATGTAAGTTTGTTATATTAAAATTAATTTATTTGATTGCTGCAAACTCTCATAACAGAGTAATTATCGAACTAATATATAGTATGTATGAATTATATCAAATAAATAAAAAAAAAATATAAAATCAAATAAATAGTCTGATGATGTATGTAACATAGTAATGATAAACTTATTATCACTGCATGATAAGACAATTAGCATGTAATACTGAAACCAAAATTTGAACAGTTTCACTCAATTTCATTAAAACTATCCTAACTATAAAAAAAAAACTATCAACTATAAGTTAAGAAAGCAGTGAATAAATAAAATTAGATTTACATAATTAAATTTATCAAAAATAATAAAAATAAATGTAAGTATATATACAGTCACCAAAAAAACTCACTTTTTAGCCGCTGCCTTCCTCTTTTCTTTGGCACTTTTCCCACTCCCACTGCTACTTCCACTTTCCGAGCTGTTATTTGCATGTCTGGTGTTATCTTTTAATTTGATTATGCACTCTATAGTGTTTATTGTGACTGTTATTGGTTCTGATGCAAGTTTTGTCCAAGGAACCCGTATTAATAATTCATGAATATGACCTGAGACTATACTGAACTGAAGTGACTGCAATTCTTCTTCTAAAACATCTAGACGGAGATCTAGGTTGTGGAATGAAACTTCGCCACCCCATAATGAAACCTAGAAATGTAAAAAGAGTATTTAATTCATATTATTTGAAATATATGTAATAGAGGTCAACTCAAATATTTTATTTTTTGTGTTGTGTTGAATCATGAGACACATGATTCACATGATACACACCAATGAAAAATGGTACAGAATAAATATCTTTTGTTGTTCATTCTTGTTTTATTTGTACTGTTATAATATAAATTTCTCCAAGAGAAGAATTGAAGGAAACAAACAACATGATACTAGATAAAATAGAAATAAAAAAATGCCCTGACATAGAATCAAATATATATCATAATTAAAATGAATCAGGTTATTCATGATCACGAAAGTAGACAGGTAGTAAATATTTACACTGAAAACTCTAAAACCAAAAAAAAAACTCGTTTAGTTTGTTAAGAAATGCAAAATCAACTACAAAATAAGCTACCATATAAAATTAAATTGAAATTACATATAAAGTAAGTTAATACAATAAAGTAAGTTAATTTTATATATGGGAATAGATTGATGTTTTTATAATTCTTTTTATATCTGCAAAGGTTTATATAATAATTGTTAAATAAATTAAAGAATCAACTATTATAAACTATTTGAAAATATTGGGTTGTTCGGAAAGTAGCTTCGTTTTTTATAGACATTTTGGCACAAAATTTTGTTACAATAAACAAATACTTTAATAAATTATGTATTGGCAATTTTGATTGTACATCTTTTGTCTTATTTCTGGTATTAGCATAATTCCGAAATCATGATTGTTTTGGTCGTTATAGGCAAAAAACTGATCAAAGTGCTTTTTGACAAGCTTATTTGAAGCAAAGATTTCATCGCCTAAAAATTTTTTTAGTGACCGGAACTAATAATGATCCAATGATGGCAGGTCTGGAGAATAAGATGAATGTGTTATTGGGTCCCATTGAAGCTTCAAAAGCTTTTGACCAAACTTTTGTGAGGTCTTGTGCGGTCTTGATGCAGGACTATACCTTGCTTGTGGTTTAATTCTGACCTTTTCTATTGAAGTATATCATTTAGTTTATCCAGCTGATGACATAAGGCATCCGAATTACCCGTTATGTTATCCTAGAAAAGCTGAAAAATGAACAACTCCTTTAAAATCTTACCAAACATTCAGCATCACCTTTTTCTGACAAATTTCAGCTTTGCACCTGTTTTGAGCAGGTTCTTCTTTTTTGTTTCATGGTCAATTGCGTGTATTGCGTGTAAAGAGTATACTCTTTACATCCCATTTGACATTCCTAGTAAAATTTTCAGGACATTCCTAGATAATTTTCATGACTTTTCAGAGGCAAATCGCAGACGCCAATGCGATGACACTCGTTTCTTTGTATGAAAACCATACATTTAATTTCGAGGAAAATTCCAGACCTTTTGAGTGGTCATAAACTGTTAAATTTGATAAATTTTAACTCAATTGGATCTCATGTATTGTTATTCACCAGTTTGCATCAACTAATATCTTTCTTGCGTCTTTACCAGCTTCAACCGTACTTCTTGGGCTTGGTGCATCTTGGACATCAAAATACCAGGAACGAAATTTAGCAAACTAATTTTAGCACTGTCGTACAATTAACAAGTCATTTTTGTAAACATCAGTAAATTTCATTTTGACTTAAACAGTATTTATACCTTTTCTATAGCAAAAGAGTAAGACATGTTGAAAATGGTGCTTAATTTTTTTCATATTCAAAGTGGCACCATCCAAAAACTACTATATGTTAGGGATTAGAATTTTTTATACACAAGCCTTAAAATATAAGTTTTCAAATCATATAATAATTATAGGGCTTAAGTGTGATGTTAGGTTCAAAAAAATATAGTTAAATTCATGTGGTAAAAAAACGAAGTGACTTTCCGAACCTATATATATCGAACAAGAATGAAAGATGATTTAGACTATTAAAGCCAATTTCAATTATTTTGAACAATGAATATAAACATCTATCAACATATTTCCCATGTAAATTGTAGGTTTTTGATAAAAAGATCATATAATTTAATTTAAATTTAAACAATGACCTGGTTTCTATTTCAGAAACATATATCAAAATATAAACAATAAAATATCATATGACAATTACTAAGTGACGTTTCAAAAATAGTTACCTGTGAATCTTCAGGCCTAAAATTTTTTATATATTTGTCCACATAACTTAACAATATAGGTGTAATATAAGATTCCAATTTAAACATTTTAAAAGGTCCATACTGATATAAACACTTGATTATTCTACATCAAACAAGTATTTTGACACACACCATAACCTAAAACTGTCAAGTTCTAGTAGATTCATTTTGTGCTGTTAAAAATATATTATAAACTATTAGTAATAAAACGAATTAAAAATAAATGTGAAATGTATAAAAAAAACTACATGGCAATGTCACTTGTTCATTTTTTTATTAAATATCCCTATATTAATTCACCACATAGTAGCTAGACATATTAGAATTTAACGTATTCATATAGACGTTTCTCTCTCCTCCGTTAAGATGTGAGGGCGCTGCTTGTGGCATTCAAATTAATGGCGCAAAATTTGAAATAAAAATTAATGAATTTTAGTAATCGGGTATTTAAAACTAAATTTGGTATTACAATCATATTATGTTAAAAATATACTAGATAATATTATATTATAATAAATATACAATCAAATCGAAATATAAATCAACAAAATGATTTGACAAATAGTACACCGATTCCATCGTTTGTGAATCAGCAAGAAGTTTGCGTACGTTGATAAATCTGTTTGACAGTTATGTACAAGGTGCATGGGTTTTAGTTAGTGGGTGCATGGCATCGTGTTTTAAGGCAAATTGCTGGAACTTTCCGTACCGAAAATTAAATTATTTGAAAAACATTAAATTTTTTTAATCTTTGAAGAAATGAAGTTTTGAGAATTTTGAAATTTTTGAAATTTTACCTGAGCCGCGTCGCAGTGTAACGGACAGAAGCTATGGAAGCCATAGAAAAGTAAGCAAAGTTAGTTCTTATTATTGAAATCTCTATAAAATATCTGGTAATTTGATGTCCATATGTCTGATAATCATTTTTGACCGCCAAATAGCATTTTTTACTTTTTTTATTGGATCTCCTAAACCGCTAGGCCTGCATTTCCAAAATTCAATCAGTAGTTCACTTAGTCAATACAAGTAACATGTTTTTTTAATTATTGAAATCGGACGCTTCGTTCATTAAAAAACTGAAATACCATTTTCGGCACTTTTGTCCTGTGTTTTCGAAACGGCCGGACTTGCCTTTTCCCATCAATACGACTCGAATGTTTTTTCAATTATTAAAATTGGTTGATCCGAGTTCCCGAAATTTGACAAAAATTTGTATCCGAACACACACACATACACATACATCATTTTTACGATAGGCCCAAACGCTTTTGAATTTAAATGCGGCCCTTGAGTAAAAAAGGTTGCTCATCCTTGGAATAAATTTATAACAAGCACTATTTAGTTTAACTGATTAATTATAATTTAATTTTGTTAACTTCCCGAAGGAGAAGTATGTTTTCATCAAAAAGTCCGATTCGCTAATTTGTTTATGTTTTCTCGACGTTCCAAGCCATTCTGAATCGAATGAGACGTTTGCTTTTAAAAAATACTCCGAACTCCGAACACGTTAAGTTCGTTCGTTTTCAATAATGTGTAATAAATCCACTTGGAATACTTTTAATCACTCATAAATTAATTTTTAACTTCCCGTAGGGTAGTTATTGTAATGGGCCGAAAATCGGTATTGAAAATTTTTACATTTCTCGACGTTTTGAAGGTTTCTGAACGTTTTGGCATACCTCAGAAAAAATGGATGTGTGTGTGTGTATGTATGTGTGGATACAAATTTCCAGTCACGTTTTAGGGCGCACGGATCAACCGATTTGAATCGTTCAAAAACATCCGATTCCTATTGATAGGGAAAAGAGCTGATTAGTTTTTGGCAAAGGCAGGTCCAGACGTTTCGGAGATACGGAGCAAAGAGAACGGAGTATCCGATTTGAATGATCTAAAAAACATTCAATTAGTAATGATTGGGAGAAGTGTTTATTAGTTTTTGGCAAAGGCAGGCCCAGCCATTTTGAAGATACGGAGCTAAATATGTAAAAAATGGCAGTTTTTGAGAGAACTAAGCGTCCGATTTAAATGATTCAAAGAACTTTCTGCTTGTCTTAACAAAATAATCGATTTTGGAAAAAAAATTTGTCCAATTTTTTTTTTTTTTTTTTTTAGTTTTTTGTATATCGAAAATATTTATTTTTAATTCTGACTATAGTTCTAATATACTTTACAAATAATTTCAACTCTGCAATTCAGTTTATATAATATTTATAAATATTAGACAATGTTACAATATTTATAATAATCTATTTGAAAACATTCAGTAATCCTCGAACATTTCGTTACGGTACGGGAAGTTCCAGCAATTTGCCTTAAGGCACGATGCCACCCACCCCACTAGTTTTTTATTGATTAAGTCGATTATTTACACATATCGGGAAGTTCATGTAACTTGCCTCAAGGAAAAACACCAATACCAACAAGTTAATTATAATTTCAAGAAAAACAAATGCTAGAATTTCATAATCAAGTTTTTCACAGTTTATTTTATTTTATCAATATCTTACAAGTTAATCTTTCGATCGTCTTTTTGTTTTCATACAACTTAGATTGTAGACATTTTAATTAATTTATTTCACAGTCCTAACACAAAAATAATAAACAAAAAAAATATTTTTCTTATATAATATCATAATTATATGTAGTTTAAAAAAAGATCAAATTTATTATACGACTAGACAAAATCACATTATATTTATATGTACATGTAAATATGTTAATAGACTGCAAAAGTCTCACTTGAAGAAACACATGCCACAAACTGAATTTGTTATTTAAAATTGTAATTTTTAGATAATAAAATAATAATAAAATATAAAGAAGAAAATGCCGGAGTAATAGTAGAAATCATCCAGATTTTTTGAAAAAACTCTTAACTAACTAAAAATTAAAAAAAATGGAATCAACTTGTTTATTTTGGTCAATGCCAAATTAGTCTTTTTAGAGTAAAGAGATATTTTTTATTCGTGAGCAATAAAAACAAAAGTCAAAGTTCTTTACTCATCATGATCTCCAAAATATCTTCATAGATCACAACTAACATTGCAACTCAATTGTATCTAACATTGTACAAATTTCAGTTTTGCCTTGAATGAATTTTATATCATATGTCTCATTAGCTTGTGGTATTTCACTCTTCATTAACAATTATAAATTAATTTATAATTTCTTTGGTACCAGCAAAAAATACATACATACTCCTTTTCCTAAAATGGCATTGTAATATCGGATTAAGTATACATCATTTGTTAGAAGTTTGAGGTCACTAAGGCAAATAAGTAGTTTCCAAATATCTTTTGCTTCATTCAAATTGTTATTGAATTTACAGTTAATTTGCAAATAAAGGATTTGAATTTGACTTTAGAGCATCAATTTTAAAATAATATTTAAAAAATCATTATAGATTTTTTTAAAACAATGCTAAGGCCAAAATAGATGTATTGATATACCTAGTGACATCGCCACCTCTATCACACACTACTATTATATTGCAAAATTTTATTTATATATTAGATATATTACAAATACACAACACAGTGATTTCTTATAATTAATTTAAATTATTTATAAAGTTCTCTGCTTCTCACACAATTAATTTGTTGTTATTCTAACCAAAACAAAATGACCTGAAATAAAATGACGGCCATGTTAAGCTCCAACTTTCATACATTATGCTACTGAATCATACTGCATACTGTCAAAATTCATGTCTTTGCTGTGCATTCAGACGTTTTACACTGCAACGTTACTGTTATGTTATGAACCTAAATCAGAAAGTCCCTGTTATTTAACATCGTTTTTTTAACATTTGTACGGTTTCTAGGTTAGGCTTTCTATCTGACAACCTGAGAAAAACGCCTGACTGCACATCAACCACATGACTTTAGTATGGAAAGTTCTTCATAACATAGCCTTGCCATAACATTGGTCTGTTATGCGGCAGAATCGGTCCAAAAACTGGACAGTTGAAATAAATTCTATTCTGATACAACTCTATACATCATTACACTTCAAGTACCCAGTAGGATTTATATTTTACATCTCTTGTCACACAAAATATTTTTTAAATCGATTAAATTAAATATAAGATTTCATTTCGGAACCTTTTTACAAGTAATTTCTTAAATTTTCATACCCATAATTGAACATTATTTAAAAAATCACTACATATATGACTATTTATTAATAATAAATATTATTTTAACTATTTGTTTAAAAACAAATATTGCGTTTTTATATCTTGTCATACAAAATTGCACAAGCAAACAAACAACCAATATTAATTGGCACATGTATATACACAAATTGTATATATATATATATATATATATATATATATATATATACATATATATATATATATATATAAATATTCCTCATCTTTATATGTGAAAATTAGCTCACATGTAAAATACTGTTCACATCAATTCTTTAGAATATTTTTAAAATCAGTAAATTTAATATTTATATGATATGCTACATTTTTATAAGAGTTTAGCCTTAATGGCTAGGATACCTGTCTTTTTCCCAGGAGGCTCTTGTTCGATTCCATGTATGGGTATTAGAAAATTGCATATCCAGATCTGCAAATAATAGAAAATATATAAATAATTACTTGTTGCAACATTTTCAAGATTGGTTTGCCAATATAATGGTATTTAAAAAAACTAATAGCGCACTGATTTCCATTTGTTTCTAAATCGTCTCTATTTTCTAAATCATCGCTAACAATTCAAGTGTAACAACGTTTGAACTATTTATTAGGGATTGCTTATGAATAAATAAATAAACTAGTTGATATTGGTATTTTGCCTTCAATATGTGTAAATAATCGACTTAATCTATAAAAAATAAATTAATTAATGAGTGGATTCATTACACATAATTGAAAACAAACGAACACATTAACTCGGAGTATTTTCTAGAAGCAAATTTTCAAAAATCAACCATTTTTATAATTGAAACCGTTTTCGTAGGACTTTAATGGTTTAGTATGTTCATTAAGACCAAGTACTCTATCGTTATACCAAGTAAATCGTCTAATTTTAATTTTAACAAACGTCAAAAAAACTACTCATTTTCTCAAACTTTGATGAATTTTTAAAATCAAACTACTTGTCATACGGCCGTAATATTTCAGTAAGTTCTATAAGACCATGATATATATCGCCAAAAAAAGTTGACAAGAAAATCATGTAAAGGAGTGGGCGAGGGTCTAGTAATATATCACGTGTATTTATTTCTGAATTTTCCAAAAAAAAAATAAAAATTTCACGATTTTTTCGTAAATTCGAAAAATTTGTTCAAAATATTATTAACTAAAAGTACACGTGATGTTTGGTGGGGGAGGAAGGTTAATTTAAATATCACAATGTATCACCAACGGAGGGGAGTTCCAAAAATTCCCAAAAATTGATCACGTGACTAATCGGCGCTCCCTTACATATATTTAACCATATGAAATTCTTTCTGAAAAATACTTCAAAACTTTAAAATATAAATGGCTAAGTGGTTTAAAACATAGGTTTCCAAACTATTTCAACAACAAGAAATTATTTCAAACAAAAGAAGTTTCGGTTTTTAGGCGAATTTTTATTTTAATCACTCTCGAACAAAATTATATTTGACAAATGCAAAGGTTGCAGAAATATAGTAGGATCTTTAGTATTATAGTAAAATTAGAATGTATGGCTTGTATTTGAATAGTTGGTACTTCTAGTGTTTGGGGGTTTATGAAATTTAAATCATTGTTTAAATTTTTATACATTTTAATAAAATAAAAGCAAATGGATTAGCTTAGCTATAAAGTTATTTCAAAGATATCCGTCCGGAAACTTTTTTAAACATTGACCAAAATATTTTTGTCTAAGATATTATCCCCATGGTAAAGAGTGATTATGCCCGTACAATTAGGTAACAAATACAGCAAATATTAATTAAAAATACATATTTTTTTATTCCAAAAATTCTACTTTTACCTCATTTGGGGTAATTTACCCCGGTTTACCGAATACTGGTATAATATATATATATATATATATATATATATATCGTATTTGTGTAAGATATGGCTGCGTAGAACGCTAAGATTTTGCTTTTAAGCTCTTAAGAAAGTTTGTTCTTTAATCTCTTCATGGTACAAGGACTTTGCACATCAAACGAAGGATCTTATACATTATATACTAAGGTTCATCTATGTAGGGTATATATACATATATATATATATATATATATATATATATATATATATATATATATATATATATATTTACACATGCCCCAAAGGGATGTTATATAAAGTCCCACGTATTAGGGTGGAGTTGCGTATAAAACTTTTACACATATGCAATCCCGAGGCTATAAGGACTTTATGCGAGTTAAGATATTTCTAGTTATATATACATATATATGTATTATATATATGTATATATATATACATACATACATAAATATCTTTATATAAATATATGAAGGACATACCAAAATCAACGCAAGATTTAAATAGATTGAACCAAAGAAATTACAGTTTTTCGGTTATAAATAGAATAGAGTTTACCCATTGGTACCTCTATTTTGTGATTATTTATAATACCGAGAAAAAATCAATATACTATATTACGTCAGTTTTTGTAAAACACCTTCTTCACCCTCCATTTTAACATTCATGTAATTAAAAGACGCTTCCATGTCAATTTATAGATACATGGTTATATAATTATTTTAATTTATCCAACTTAGCACAAATTCTTAATATATATTAGCAATTGTGAATTCTAAAAAATTTGCTTTTTTTATAATAAGCATTATTTTAGTTACGAGACCCCATTTTTGACTCTCTTTTAGTAACGAAACTACAAAATAAATAAGGTAAGAAACTAATGTTAGAGAAATGCAAAACGTTTAAAATAATGCATATTATAAAAAATAAGCAAATTTAAAAAGAATATAGAGACTCTAAAATTACTAATACGTAATAAGAGTATGTACTAAGTTGGATAAACTAAAATAAATATATAATCATGTATGTATAAATAGACATGGGGGCGTCCATTAATTGCGTGAAGGGAAAGTGTTTTACGAAAAATCACGAAATATTGTAATTATTTTTTACCTGAATTCAAATAAATCCGAAAATTTTCAAAGATTTTCCGTGTATTTATAATACCTAGAAAAAATCTTTGAAAACTTTATAGCCAAGGGTAAACACTATTTTGGTCTTAACATTACAAATTGTTATTCATTATTATTAAATGTTTTTTGAATATTAAAAATAGATTGTAATTGCATCTTGAGAAAAAAAATTATAAAAAGACGTGATGTTGTGAGATACATGAGCACTACGTATCAATAAGGGGAGATGTTGGGTCCTTAAATCCTTAAATGTTGATCAGTTGACCTTTTGTATAGGAAATAATTTATGCATAGGAATAGGAATAGTATATATATATATATATATATATATATATATATATGTTAATGTATTGAATATTATCAATTTACCCATCGAATCCTGCCTCATGGCGGTCATGCCGGCGGCGGACGTGCCTCCAAAAGCCTGCGACGTATATGCACCACCACTCAGTGAAAACACATCACAATTCTAAAAAACGAATACATTCACATAAAATATATTATAATACTGTAAATTCATAAATAAAAAAATTTCCATTATTTGCAGTATGTTCTATTCGGTTAAATTGAGATATATTTTTTAAATACACATTTGTTAAAAGTCAAGCTTGCAATAACTAATAAAATAGCTTTTAATTTATTATTAGTTAAATACAACAAATTATAATTACTATGAAATAAATTAGTCAATATATGTTGTAACCTGCCTACTGTTGATTAGGCAAAAGTTTGATTTAAATATAATATACATATTATTTTCAAAATTTTCATCTTACCTGGGGATATCGGTTAACGTTATTCATCACATGGTGATAAGGCTGATATCCTCGCATATGATAGTTGCTCATAGCAGTTATGTTATTAACCGAATTCCTCAGCAAATTGCTATTTGCATTATTGATAATGCTCGAATTATTGATTTGCTGGTGGTGATGGTTTAACAGCAAGTTGCCGCAAGGAGTCAGCGCCTTTTGAAGCTGCTTTTCTTGTTTGCGATATTTTGCTCGACGATTTTGAAACCACACCTATTAAGGTAAAACAAATAAGGATTAATATATTAATATATACTTGTATATTTAGTAGTTTAAATGTGTAGAGAAGTATAAATAGCTCAAATTTAAAAGAAAATGGTAATTTACGCCATTTAAATATTTTTGGCGATTGGTATGACAAAGTTTACCGCAGCTTTCAAGTAACAAATATCAAGATCGTTTTATTTAGCACCTTGTTTTTGTTTTTTAATCATATTTTTCATTGATTGAATCATACGATTGAAAGTATTCATTAAGTTTATCCGTAATGCAAATGCAATATAGGCTAACAATACACATTTCCATGATATTAGCAAAATATATTTAGGTCACACGTTCGAAAGGATAAATATTATAATTTCGATGTTAGTGCGTATATTTTTGTACATCCATCAATTTATAAATTAAAACCGAAATTAGGTAAATTAAAAAATCAGTTATTCTAGGCCATAAGTACTTCTTAAGTCTTGATTTCGGCAGTAAACAACTATGAAGTATAAAAGTATAAATCATTGATTTCCAAAGAGGTCCATATTGCTCCCCAAGGGTCCATGACAACTTTCAAGGGGTCCACGTGAACGAAAAGGAATTATGGAGATCTACGATAGTGGACTACTATACATCTTGTTAATATCTATTTTATTATTATTTTGAAGACAATTCATAAATGTCTAAACTTGGATTAAGATCTTCAATAATAAACATTAGTACAAAAACAAATTCAATAAAAATCAATATTTCCTAATTGTGGGGTCCACGGTTTGGGAACCTATGGTATAAAATATCATATTTTTGAAACTAAAAAATATATAATAAATAAAAAATCCAAAAACAAATATAAATAATTGATATTGATATTCAAAATTTGTATCTTAAAATCCTTTAGTTTCTAAAACCATAAAATTGTTTTTTTGTAGGCGCGTTGATTGCGGAGCTCACCATATTTTCAAATTCTTTGTACATTTTAGATTTGATAAATGAAATGAAAAATATTGTTTTGTTTCAAGATAGATCTCAATTACAAGCAATACCAAAAAGGTATACTTTTGTTTCAAGAATTTTAACCATTTAAAATTTACAAATTAAAAACTATAAATGGAATAAATATAATATGAAATTCAAATAATTTTATTATATATTTATATATATTTATTTATATATATATATACATATATATATGTGTGTGTGTGTAGATTTAAAATAATCAAGACAAAATTGACAACTTTTTCCACATCAAATTAAAATCTAAAATATTTTGATAATATTTATTTTCATGATAATAATCATGTGACAATTTTGGCATTTAGGCACATTTTAAGTACCGTGAGTACTTGGAATGTAGGCTCTTGTTAGGCAAAAATGTTACTAAAACTGCTTTAAGTAAACTCTAAGGTATCTAAAAAGAGGTTAAATTTATATGGCAAGAACGTATATCTTATGTGTCGGGAACTATAAAAAATTCTAAATTTTGAAACGGGCAGAAATTGCGTCAAACAAAGCCATATCATGTTCAGTGAAATCTTAGATAACAAACTAAACAAAATACAAAAATTACTAGGACAACTAATTGCAAAATTACGAAGAGAAAATGGATATAGATGTGACTAATATTTAATATGAATTAATAAAATATAAATTAATGTGCAACATAATCACAATTTTTTTCTCATTGTCAATTTGTAGTCGATGCAAGATTATATATATATATATTGAAACTTCTGGTAGGAAAGATTTTCAAAAAGTCTTTGTTTTTCATTTGATGTATTGCCTCAAAGTTTATATATACATATTTCTACATCAAATCATACATACATATGATATATATATATATATATATAATATGTATGTATGTATGTATGTATACGCACACCCCATCATGGGGTAGTGGAAACCATTTTGTTTTTCTACATAAGTCGATAAACTATGACGCAAGCGCTTTTCGTCGGACAGTGCGAATGAAAAGGACAGAGCCAATGCACTCCATCATTGTGTTAGACTAAGACATAACACTGGAAAAATACTTTTCCAGAACAATATATATATATATATATATATATATATATATATATATAAGTAAAAGATCAAAATCGATTCTAGTTAAAAGAAATTTGATGTGTTCCAAAAACATTCGCCATTGATGTTTTTTGTGTCTAGTTATGCAATGTATCCATTCCAAACTGTCGTAAAATGGGCGCAGTATAGTTCACTAATGAGCTCAATTACAAGGGATGCCAAAAAGGTATACTTTAGATTTCAAGGGATCTGGTCCTTGATTAGATTATCATAGGTTATCAAAACTCTCCACACAAGTTGGCTTTGATATGCTTGAAATTTTACAAGGTACTCATTTTGTTTGAAAACCAGAAAACTTGAGCAAAATAAAAATTCATCAGCTGATGTACTTGTATAGTTAAACACATAACTCGTAATTTAATGAATTAACTGGCAAAAAGTTTTGTTTGCATGGCCAAGTCATGTACAAAAGAGTTTAAATGCGGGAACTGAATTTTCTATTGCTGCTGATGGCAATTAATGGAAATGCAATTCTTATAGTTCGAAGAATTCCAATACTAATTGATGCTCAATATTTTTGTTTAGTAAAACTTCAAAATCAGGAACATTACAGTATTGCTATCTCTTTAGTTAGGTTGTAAGTATTGCATATAACTGGTTAAGTTTTTAATTAATTGTCATTGAACAATATTGACGAATTTTCAAATATGCGATTAACACTCTTATCAATATTCAAAAAAACGTACAGAATTCTATTCACATTCTACTTCCTCTTTTGCAGAATGCTTATATTTCAATTTGGGTACTCTGACTGATGGACATATGGACATCCATTTGTTCCAAAGCTATAAGAAAATACTAGCTTCAAAATATAAAAGCAAATTTAATATTTTTATATATTTTTGAATTTGGGTTAAGGGGTTAAACAACCTTGCAATCACAAAGTTGTAGGTTCAAATAACGCGCTACGTACTAACTGATATCAAGCAGTAGTGATCACCATTTACACTTGGAAATATAGAACATAAATATATTTACAAGTTGATATAGCACCTCATTGCTGCAAATGGCAACTAAGTCAAGGAAAATTGCTGGAACTTTCCGGAACGGAACAAAAATAATTGACACAAAATGTGTACACATTATTAAAATCTCTATAAAATATCTGATAATTTGATGTGCATATGTCCAATAAACGTTTTTGACCGCCAAATGATATTTTTTTTTAACTTATTTTTATTGAGAGTCTATAACCGCTGGACCTGCCTTTCCAAAAAAAATAATCGGTTCTTCATCTTGTCAATACAAGTAAAATGTTTTTCAAACTATTAAAATCGGACGCTCCGTTCTCTTAAAAACTGAGTTACCGTTTTTGGCACTTTTTGCCCCGTATCTTCGGAACGGCTAGACCTGCCTTTGCCAGAAACTAATCAGCACGTCTCCTTATCAATACAAATCGAATGTTTTTTGAATTATTCAAATCGGTTGATCGGTTTTCCCGAAATCGTCGACGAACATTTGTATCCGCACACACACATACACACACAAATACATCCATTTTTTCTAAGGTATGCCAAAATGTTCAGAAACCTTTGAAACGTAGTATATAAAAACTTTCATTTTCAATTTTTCTGCGATTACTATAACTTACCCTACGGGAAGTTAATACTAATTAAGAAAGTTAAAAAAATCTCAATTAAAAAGTAAACTACTGTACCGATCGCTTGTATAAAAATAACGACATAAATACTGATTTTTTTGTATAATAATATAAATATTGTATTTACTGGGTAAATGAAAAGTAGATTAGCAAGATTCTGTATCAGTACAATAAAAGTAGCTTAGAGATTAATGAAAACCCATTTATGTGATAAAAACTAATTACTATATATAATATAATACTATATAATATAGAGGTTTAAAACTATTCTCTAGGAATCATTTATACAACTTTTAGAATACTTCTATAAAACCTTTAGAATTTTTTTAAAATCCTTTTTATATTACTTTAATCGTTGATGTGAATAATCATTGATTAGATAAAAAGCATCTGTTGAAGCTATTCGTTCCATTTAAAATAAATATCTAATTATTAAAATAAATAAACATTTTCATTTGCTCATTAAATCTATATCATAACAACCCTGAACTTCAAACTTTTACCAAAGAACTTGTCAGAAATGTAATCCTGCTGTTCAGGCGTTATACACATAAAATCTAATCTACAAAATGCACAGATATCAAGTAACAATTTTATCATATGTGCAACTTTATGTCCTTTATGTCCTTTGTCCCATCTCCTTTATAACACATACGTGAACTTAGGGTTTATGTGTAAAACTCCTGATGGCACAGCAAATGCATAGCTTTTTAGCAGTTCGTCATACGAAGGTAGACCCTTAAGAATGCAGACCCATTACCATAACGTTTCTATTTTATCCCAGATCTGCCCTTTTGTTATGAAATTTATAATTGCATATCATCACTTTTCGGATATTTTGGTAAGTTAAAAGTTGGTTATAATAATTATATTAACAATTGATTATTTAGCAATGTTGTAATTATAACCTCATAAATGTATGTATCCCAAGCTGTATGTAGTAAATAAAAATATACGACTTCATATATCTGTCTTTCCGAGCACATGTATCAGGGGTTGTTTTCCCTTGAAGTCTGTCGCAGAAGAGAGTATTCTTTGATTGAATTAAGTCGCCAATTACTTGACTTGGAATTTTGTTCCCCTGGCATTCTATTTTTCGTTTTCTCTTTTTTTGCTTTTTTGCTCTGGGGGGGTTGCAAGTATCTTTTGGGGCAACCCAAGAGCTGCTCATTCGAATGCATGTTTTATGATGAATTTAGAAAATGGAAGTCGATTTATAAAAGAAATATATAAAAATTTATATGACCTAAAACTTTTTTATGGTCAATCGACGCCTGGTAATTAATGTACAGACGAATTATTGTAAATTTTATAATTTGACATTATTAGTTATATTTATCAAAATTCTAAATATTATTAATTTTAGTACTAACATTAAGCAAATTGTTAACTTTGAACATTGAAATCTTTAAAAGTTTTGACAACTTTCTTGATATATATATTAATAATAATTACTATAATAATGATTTTATTTTTCAAGAATTACCTATACATAGTATATGTTTGTATATATATATATATATATATATATATATATATTAGGGTGGTCCTTAAAATGGTCATTTTCGAATTTCCTTGCTCCCAGGGGCTCAAATGGTTTCAAATAGATAAAAAACAATTCTCTGAAAGTTTTAGCTCTTAATATTATCGTTTAGATAGAGCGCAATTCAATCAAAGTTTTGTATGGAAATAGCATGGAAAAATTTTCAAAAATTTAAAAAATGTTTTTCAGATGTAATTTAGCGAACAAATAAATGAATAAAACTCATTCATTTATCGCTAAGTTATACCTAAAACATTTTTTTTAAATTTTCAAAAAATTTTCCATGCTCTTCCCATGCAAACTTTGAATTGCGCTCTATCTAAACGTTAATATTAAGAGCTAAAACTTTTAGAGAATTGTTTTCTATTTATTTGGAACCATTTGAGCCCCTGGGAGCAAGGAAATTCGAAAATGACCATTTTAAGGACCACCCTAATATATATATATATATATATATATATATATACAGATACGCAATTTGTACAGGGTTGATGAACCAATTTATTTTCAATTTGTCATACAACCCCTCGAGTGTTTGAATATCTTTATCACGCTGGCACCCTAGTCATATATATATATATATATATATATATATATATATATATATATATATATATATATATATATGTATATATATATACATATATAAACTTTAGGTTTTTTGTCCGACAAAAAACGTATACTTAAAATATTTATTTGCAGACAAATAGTCGAAATACAAAGTTATATTTAATTAACCCTTATGTACTTTCGACGATGTAAGTGTATCATCATTCAGTTTGTTAACAAAACCTAAGACGAAAATTTTGAATTGTGTATAATTACAAGACTGCTAAGATCTAACAAATAAAAATAATAATACATATAAACTAGAAAAAAAAACAACACACTAATTTTAAAGGCATTGTTTAATGGAAAAAACCCAATAAAATAAAATAATAAACAGTTAATAGTTAAATAATAATAAAATAGTTAATACTTAAATAATAATATCATTTAGTAAGCCACATGATTAACAAATTGTAAGTGCACAGTTCTGCCATTACAGAAATGAAGGGGTTCACAAATGCAGATTCAGGATCGAATTCTGGGAAATGCTAGCAGGTTAGAAACAATGTGGATCTAGGATGAAAAAAAAACAAACTAAAATAAAACAAAATATTAAAAATATTAAAAATAAATATAAAAAATCAAAGATATAAACAATAAAAAAACTAAAGAAGTGAACACAAATATAAATATTGAATAGAAAGTAAAAACTAAACAAAAACAATAAAAGTCCACAATTAAAAAATCGCAGTTTTTTTTTAAATAATTGATAATATTATTATAAGTATCACATAGGTATTAAGAGGGCAGAATTACATTTATTCACACAAAGAGTATTTAAAATGATAAACATAGGTTCATCAAAACATCTAAAATTGGCTGCAAACATTTAAAATATTATAAATAATAAAAATAAATAAAAAAACAAGAATATAATAAAAAATAAAAAGTTAAATAAGTGAACACAAATATAAATATTGAAAAGAAAGTAAAAAGTAAACAAAAACAAACAAACAAAAGTCCACAATTAGAAAATCGCAGATTTTTTTTAGTAATTGATAATATTACTATCACATAGGTATCACATAGGTATTAAAAGGGCAGAATTTTATTTATTCACACTAAAAGTATTTATAATGATAAACATAGATTCATCAAAATTTCTAAAATTAGCTGCAAACATTTAAAATATTAAAAATATTAAAAATATTAAAATCATTAAAAATATTAAAAACTTTAAAAATAAATAAAAAAATCAAAAATATAATAGAAAATAAAAAATTAAAGAAGTGAACACAAATATAAATATTGAAAAGAAAGTAAAAACTAAACAAAACCAACAAAAGTCCACAATTAGAAAATTGCAGATTTTTTTTAATAATTAATATTATTAAAAGGGTATCACATAGGTATTAAAAGGGCATAATTACATTTCTTTACTCAAAGAGGATTAAAAATAATAAGAACAGATTCATCAAATTCTCTAAAATTGGTTGAAAACCTTTCACGAATATCTTTCAACGTCAAATAAAAAAATCTAAACTACTATATATATATATATATATTTATATATATATATATATATATATATATATATATTAATATTTATGTACAATTATATCTTTATATTCATAGAATATAAAGACAAATCGACACAAATCGCTACTTGTTTTATAGAACTTTATATATTAATGCACCAACCAAAATATTTTGCTGAGTTACTTTAAATTATATTGAGGGACTATTTTTGTTCAAATTCAATTTTACGATTGATTTTTCAGTTTCCGTTTTTTGATAGATTTTATATATTTGGCTGAATGTAATATCCGGTTATTTTGCTCTCGATCGCGTTTTGCAATTTTTGAACTGTTATGAACCCAAATAGTAAGATACATAGTACGTAGTAGTAAGATATATATATATATATATATATATATATATATATTTATTTTATTTATATTAAAATTACCTGTATCCTGGCCTCATTCAATTTTGTTGTCCGTGCTAATTCCTCCCTGCAATATATATCTGGGTAGTGAGATTTTGCAAAGGCAGCTTCGAGTTCGGCTAATTGTTCCTGAAACAATAGATAATTGAAAATAAAGTTTCAGACTGCTTGTTAAGCTTACAAAATTATAATAAATAGTTTGTCTTAAGATTCAGCCGTTTTGAAAAAACAGAACAAGTTGTACATATAAGGCAAATTGTGAACCTACTCCATGAAGTTATCAGGCTTTTATCTATAATTTAATAGTAATATTAAGATGTTACTTTGAATTATTTAGCTGAATGTCTCAAAATGGTAACCAAATATGTAAGTTCATTAATCTTATATATAAAAATGGAGCTCTCGATCAAATGATTCAGTAAAACTCGAAAACGGCTAAACAGATTTGGCCAGTCTTAGACTTGAAAAATTCGTGCCAATTCACAAATGGTCGAAAAGGTAAGATATTATTTCAAAATCGCGTAGAAACTTTACATTTTCAATTTGAAAAATATTTGTAGAAGCGTAATTTAAATAAAACAATGGACGGTGGCTAATACGTGAAATGTCAAACGCTTTTGACAGATGATGTTCAATTACGTTTAATAGGATGCTTTGCGTGGATATTATTTAATTATGATTTAATTGTAGCAAGTAGTTTTGTTTGTAGTTTTATTTATATACAGAAAAAAAAAAGTAAACGGGCCGCAAGTGTTACTAGAGACTTAAAATATCAACTTTTTTGAAATGTTAATATGAAAATGCACTTTTTGGCATATTTTTCTTAAATACGGTGCTCAGAAAGATCTCATTTTTATAATTATATACTCATTGGTATTTTTAAAACATTTTGTAGGTTATATTATTTTTTATTTATGTTATTTAAATTCAGAACCTAAATTTGGTATCGATCAAATGGACATTTTGTCGTATAAGTCGAATAAATTTTCCGTTATAATTTCCCAGAATTTATCGAAGGTCCGAGGTTAAAAAGGTCCACCACCAATGTGTCAAAAATCAGTAAACTTAAGCATTGTTTAACAGCAATATTTGAAAATAGCGAAAAAGATGTAAAACCAGCTATAACCTTGATTTGAAAACGATAATCTTTGAAATGGAGGAGATGAACGGCAATCTTTAAAAATCCATAAAAAAGTATTTTCTGCCGTTGGTAGTTTTTTAGCATTAGTTAAAAATGTGATTATTTTGTAAAATACCTTTAAAATTATAATAAGGCTTTAAACATTTTTGCCACCTGCCCGTTTCAAGTTACCCCGCCTATAGGGTAAAAAGGTCTAGATAACAAATTTTTGAAAGACATCAAAAAGCACATTTCTACAATGAAGAAGTAGAAGGCAGTTTACTGAACGTAGTCAGATAATTGTTCGTTTGAAATGTGTTATTTGTTGTGATATAATTGTTATGGTTTTCACAAAATAGTTTATATTTGCTCAAAGTCAAATTGGACCTTTGTGCCTCGCACTTTATACTTTTTATTAAATTTACTTTAATTCATAGAATGTTACTTAAAACTTTTCAAAAAGCAGATCAAAGAAGAAATACCTAATTCATTTTCTATCTCTCCTTGTAAAAATTGGAAAACTTTGTATAAGTTCAGTAGTATTATTTACAAATATACACAAAATCAAGAATCCAAAAAAAATCCGAAAAACTCGAAACGTAATCAATAAGTCGATGTCCATATTTTCTATAGAAAGTGTATAAAACTTCCAGCTTGATTTTATTGATAAAATATAGACAAACAAATGGGGTTTATTGTTTTTATCACACTTCATTGTATATAGCATTCAAACAAGTCATCCTTATACACTTAAAGTATTAATATTTTTCATTCTCTAGAAATTGTTGAGAATAAACCTTTTTTTTTATATATGATTTATTGGCTTTATAAGCTAGTACATTAGCCATATACTAAATTACATAATATCTACACTATCTCTTAAAATCTAGTCTTACGTATATGTATATCATTGTTTTATGTATATTTCTTTTATAATTTTATATTATTAGATTTGATGTAAGTATAAAGAGCACGAACCTTACATAGCAAAACAACGTTTGTCGGGTCAGCTAGTATATATATATATATATATATATATATATATATGTGTGTGTGTGTGTGTGTGTGTGTATTTAGCCATAGGCTGTAGTCATACCAAACTATTAATTCAAAAAATGTATTTTGCTAAAGGCTATAAGTATATCATATAAAACAATTAGTTAAAAACTGTATTTCGCTTTAGGATGTAATATAAGTATGTCATCACATAAGACAATCAGTTCAAAAAATCTATTCATTACCTGGGTAAACGTAGTCCGATGCCTCCGCCTCGCCGGTGTGGGACACTGACTTGCTGAAGTGCCTCCGCTCGACGTCAAATGATTCAAGGCACCACCGGCACCTAGCGTGCTACCACTCAAGGTACCACTTGCGCCCAACGCGCCGCCAGCCAGACCCGCTCCGGCTCCCAATGAGCCCGTGCTCAAGCCGCCTGCTCCTAGCGAGGCTCCGGTCAAGGAATTTCCACTGAGCGAACCGCCGCTGGTGGACGTCGTGACTGAGTTTGCTCCTCCTGTACTGTGGTGGTAGTGGTGGTTTAGTACGGAACCGCCGTTTCCCGTTGATATGGGTTCTGGTTTTAGTTTCTTGAAGGCTCCTATCGCTTCTGGGGAAAGAATATAAGGGAAAGTTAATGAGATTATTAAAAACTATAAGTTATTTCAATAGACAAAAAATGGAAACAAAATATTTGATTTTTATAGATTTTTACAAACTTTACTACTTATAAGTAGTAGGGCAGACTCGGCATGATTGTGCCAGGGTACTTTAGTGACAGTCGTCATAACAGCCAAAATTATTTTATTTCTATACATTTTTATATACTTCACTAATGATAAGTACAGTGGCGGATCCAGGGGGTAGGGCATGGGGGCCATGACCCCCCTCCCTAAGCTTCAGATAAAACACTAATTCAGCAATAAAATTACTTCATAATGATTTTATTTATGTACTTTTTTACCAAACACATTTTATAACTTCAATATGTAACTTACTATGCACGAACGGCGGAGTCAAAGACTCCTAATAATTTAAGGATTTTCTAATCGTATTGCTATGCTCTATACATATATTATGTTCTATATCTATATATATATATATATATATATATATATATATATATATTTAATTATGTGACCCCGCCCTGGCACCAAAGCTGGTTCCGCCACTGGAATAGTAATAGGAAAGACTGGGTACGGTTATGTCAAGGTACTTTCGTGACAGTAATCATAACTGCTAAACTATACTGATTTTGACATAGGGTTCAAAGGGAGAAAGATGAATCATGTTTATCCAAACAAGTTCCCATTACAGCTTTAAGTCAGAGCCTTACATTAACATGATCTGTAGACCGCATTTTTTTAAAGAGTCAAAAGTAACTTTTCATGTTCGAATTATTTTAATAATAAATGTTAATAAAAGACAATTTATTAAATATGTCAATTATGTATTTTATATTTTTGCCAGAAAATCTGATCTGTTAATTTTATGTTTTTCGACCTTTGACTTTGATTTGATCAAGTCATTCTGAATAAAATGAGACCAAATTTGGAACAAAAATATGTTCGTGTGTGTGTAAGTATGTGAACCGATTTTTGACCAAGAAGTCAAAATGCCCTAAATGAAACTACCTGCATAAGGCTAGGTCAGATAATTGACCCAAAGTCAAAATTAAGACCATAGTAAGCAATAATCAAGAAAACGACTGCATGCATTTATAATTGTTTATCTTACAACTTCTATTGTTATAACTACCTTATCTTATTGCAAGTTAAGAGAGTAAGCTTATCCGATAATAAAAAGGCTATTATAGAAAAATTAATAAAACCTTCTGGTAAAGTGATTTATGACTCTGTTCAGTAAATATCGAGTCCTGGCTGGGTCTTTAATACTCCACATAGGACCTTGGTCTTTTTTATCATACTTGTCCAAACACATGTGAGATGAAAGGGGGGCGTGTCGTGTTATAGGAGACCCTCAGTGTTACACGAAACGTCAAATTAGAATCCCATTAGGGAGCATAGAACAAGTGCTTTTCGCGCCGCGTCTGTCCATATGTCACTCGGAGATTTACGACTCCGATGGGTCCTAGTTCAAAGTGCGAGCTTTTAGATAGAAAAGTGCTAAAAGCTCAGCTAGAATATCACAATCAGTTGATAACCATTAACACACTACTTAGACAAAAAATAATAAAAAATATGAAATAATTTCAAATATACTTTGATTTATGTAATTATCTCGAAAGACCATTTGTTATACAAATTACCAACGTTCTATATATTTAAACCTTAATTGCACCATCTTTTGCAAAGACGTTTCCCAATTAAAATAAAATTGTCTAAGGCAGTAGGTCAAATATCGTAAAAAATCATGGAGATACTAACAATACTATCTTTTATATATATATATATATATATATATATATATAAAAATATATCGGATTTTCCTTCCTGACGAAATAACTCCAGAACGCACGAACCGATTTCGACAATTTTGCATTCGTTAGAAAGGTTTTGGGCTCCGCAAGGTTTATAGCTAAGAAAATTAGTTGTGCATGGCATCGTGCCTCAATGCAAGCTGCTGGAACTTCACGCACCGTAATTAAAAATTCGAGTAATGACATTAGTGAGAATTATCAAAATTATGCTTGGTTAAGTCAACGAGCAATTCTTGCCGCAAAGAATGATGATGTACACGCACTAAATTTCACCATTCAATCAAAAATTGCTAGCGATTTGGTGATATGCCAATGATTCCGACTGGTCTTCCGTTTGGCTTCATACGATTGCAATTTCCAGTTCGCCTTGCGTTCGCAATAACAAATCGCAAGGCTATTCGCTTAGTGTTTGCGGGATAAATTTCAAATAGTTTATTTAGAAAATCATTGTTTTTCACATGGGCAGTTATACGTTGCCTGTTCACGAGTTGGAAAACCAATCGCTTTGTTTGTGTTAACGTCAGACCAAAAAACAAAAAATGTGGTTTACTAAAGAGCACTTCAATGAAACGG